TTCAGAACTTTTTGGGAAGTTCCTCAGAAAGGTCCAAGTATTGAAGGTAAGGCTTAGATAGTAAAAGAAAAACAATTCTTCTAATTTTAAGGACTGTTAGACGTTGCAGTGGAAGTTCTGAAGAAGTTATGGAGTCTTACTCACTGGAAGGTCTTTATAACTAGTCAAAAAAGATATCTTTTGGGCTGATTTGGTGTGTCAGTCCCTGTTTTATGCATTTTTATGATAGAAGGGGAAGCAACCAATATGCTGTGATTTAAAGGATTAAAATTCATGTGTTTAGAAAATCAAAAGTGAAAACCTGGAAGTCTTGATGCCCAGAATATTAGAAGTACATTCATCTTCTGCAGGTCCATAACAGAGTGGGAACAGTCCTGGCAACTCTTTAGATGAAATTTGACAAAAATTAATGTGTTATCACTAGAGGGATAGTGCAGGCTGCTCAAGCAAGGAAATGCATCTGATTGATAGTAACACCACACAGATCTAAGAATACAGTGAAATTATCCTGAACAGTTTTTTTAAAATACTGTTTAACAGGACTGTGTGGGGAAAAAAAGTTGGGAAGAGCTAAGCTGAGCTCTGCATGTGGGTATGGGTGCACGTGAGCATTGCCCAGCCTTTCCTAGGCAGTAAGAAGGGGAGAGAAGCTGACTGCCTCCAGTTCATTTCCTTCACCTGTCCCTCTAACACTGTCCATATTTTTGCCCCCAAATCATATCTCTATTATGAGGTATGTAATGCTGGGCTGTATTTTCAGGCACCTGAAAACCAAACCATACAGAACTTCCTTTTTGCCTGTTTTGGTTGCTCCAGCTCTGTCTCCTACACAGTTCACTAGTTTCACCATCTCCTCTTTCTAGCTATTGCTATTTCCTGTCAATCCACTGATGTAAAGGCAACCTCAGGTCATTTGTCCATTCCACACAAAATAGCCATAGGGCTAAAACCTGCGTCCTCTCTTTCTCACTGTCTCCCAAGATTCATAGGTTTTTATCATACCTCTTCTCTATGGCTCAGAGTCCTGAGCCTCAAAACCCACATGCACATGTGCCCATGCTTCTCCCCATCTGAACTCAGCATTCATCCTGTATGGAGTTGGATAGCAACCTCATACGGAGGACAGACAACGAGGCTTCTCTGGTATCATGAATAGTGTATTCTTATTGTGTTTCTGAATGAAGATGAGTAATCCATGCTGGAATCTTACTTAGTTAATTTAGGATATTTTTCATGTAAAATAACTGTGTTTAGTTTTGACAAGACACTCTTCCTTTTATCCTTATGTCAATCTTCAGCTAGGAGAAAAAAAAAAGGAAATGTTGCAGAGGGTCTGCAGTCTTTGCCTTTATGAGGACAAATAAAATTGAAAAGTCATAGTAATGACTTATATCCGTGGTAGTTTTGCTGAAGTCATTCATCACTGAAGAAACAATTCAGAATTTCTCTGCTATGTTTGTTCCTGATGTGAATAATTTAGTGTCAGTGTAATTTGGGCAATAGGTGGAATTAATAAATTATACATAGAATTATATTGAGAAAATAGTTTAATGAAAGATGCTCTTTAGCAACAGGAGACAGGGATCAGGATATTGGAAATAAAACACAAAAAGTTGGTCTACGTTGAACATATATTTTATATTTTCAATTACCTTTATATTTAAAGATAGTAATGTTAAGTATAATTTGCTTATCCAAAAGGAGGTGGACATAAGGAACAAGGGAAAGCAAGAAGCATGGAGCATAGAAGCTACAAGGCCATTGGAGTGGGCAGATGTTCACGATAAAGAAGAGCTTTATGGTGAAGGGTGGGAGTTCCAGGGAGGATTGATCGAAAGCTGATCAGCTACTGATTTGTGGTGGAATTTTCCTTTTTAAAGCTTGAATAATGCCAACGGAATGAATATGGGTTGGAAAACGTCTTCCTTTCTATATAACCAGGGAGACATCTTACATTGGTGTATTCCTTTTATCACTTATATTAACCAAAAATGTGATCCAAGTTATCAAGAGTCTAAAAAGAAATTATATTTCTGCAGCATTGAAATAGTAATAGTAGCTAATATAACTGTTGCTTAGAATGCACAATTAAATCATTTGACAGCTAGTGCTTTTTTTACTAAAATACATTTATATGGAAGAATCTGACATTACTTGAATTAAATATATACTATTTTATTGCACTGATTAAGCCCTTTTATTGTGACTTTTTTGACTTTTTTTTCTCTACTCTTGTCAAAATTTCATGACTTGACTGGGAAATTACTGCCTTAGGTGATTTCTGATTGTTATTTTCAGACAACTATTTGGTATCTTTTCTGAACATGTTGTATATTTTATATTACGAGCTCTTACAGGTTTGTGCTGTGAAAATAAAGGTGTGCTAATATAACTTGATATTTCATTTGCAAGGCTTTCAGATATATCTGTCTTAGTTAGACAGTACATTGTTCAGATGGTTCAGTTAACACGACAAGGTTTTTCCTTTCCACTGAATGGGTGGCAGCATATCCCCCTGCTCCTGTTCTCTCATGCCCACTCCTATCCCATCCTTGGTACTGACATGGATGTTCATCCGTGATCCAATTAAGCTCACTTAACTGGTAGAAAACTGATCTAGGAAGCTAAGGGTGAATAGATACCCACCTTCTTCAGCTCTGTCAGCTATCCTAGAAGTCAGACAAGCATGAGAGGTTTTGCAAGAACAGCTAGAGGGGAAATGACACTGCCCAGCCGGGGTATCCGCTGGAGAGGGGACAGGACTGTCTTCCAGCAGTGTCCACTGTTATAGAGGATCCATGATGTTGTCTGGCGCACAGAGGTTTGCTTGACTTTCACAAAGACTTCCTAATACATTTTAGCCTTACTGAAAATCCTAAATCTCTTTTGTAGAATTCACTATACAAAGCCTTGAATAGCTAGAACTAGAAGAGAGGTTTTGCTCCAACTTCAAGTCCCGATCACATGCAATGTACCCAGAAAAGAAGGTAGTAAGAGTCTTTGAGAGGTCATGTACACCATCCTCTTGTCTGAAGAAGGACCAGAATTAGTGAAATGTGTCTGTCTTCTCATCCCTTGCTTCTGTGATAGAACCATTTTCTTCTTCCTTTCTGTATGTTAATGTCTCCCTTGCTCCTGGAAGCAAAATTTCAGTCCAGTCCTTCAATCAATCTTTTTTTTCCAGATACCCCCAATCTATCCTCCTTCAATCCCCAACCTTAATTACAGGTGCACACTTTTCATGTAAGACATGAGCATTTTGTGCTATTTTTTTTTTCACAGGGCCTTTCTCTTCCTTTTTTCTGCCCCATGCTGTGTTGGTTGTTGGTCTGCACTCAATTTTATGTCTGTGAATGAAAGGTTTATTCATTGCCACTCCTAACATGCATCCTACTCATCTTTTTCTGCTCAACTAGATATCTGAAACTGATTTCAGAATAGATTGCAGCAGAACTGCCATTATAAAGCATATTTGGTAGGTGTGAGAAACAGACGTTCACTCAGGCTAACTAATAGTGTTGGAAGCATTAAAAATGCATGCCATGAGTTGCCTAAGTGGTCTGTAACATCGTTTAAGTCCTAAGGTCCATACAGTGCAGCTGCATGTGATATGGCTGGCTGTTTGCTGCTAGCAGCCCTTGTTATTTTATATTCATATTTAAGTACCACACAGAAACTGCCACCGGGTTTGTGGCCCAGCCATTTCAGGCCTTGTGCAAATACATCGTCCCTGCTTCTACAGTCTAACACGACTTCTTCTTTTGATCTAATGGTATGGAAGTTTGTGTGTAGTATTGTGCTTTAAAATACCAAAGCAGGCAGATCATTTTAGAAAGCTCTGCCCTTCTTTTTAGTGCTCCTCTCTGCTTCTCTGTAAGGCTTCTCTTCTCTGAATTCCTCGGGCAAATGAAGTTGCCTGACTGTAAATACCACAGCAGCCCCGCGCCTTTTGGACCCGTTCCTGTCCCCAAGGGAAACAGTGATTATTTTCATGCTAACTAGAACTGGGAAGTGATCATACTTTCTACCCATTTGCACAAAGTTTTCTGCTAATGCTCTAATCTACTGTCTACTTGTGAATAAAGATTCTTTTATGCACATATGTTATTTTAATACTTACACAGTAGACAGCTTTTGATTACATAATAGGTTCTGTATTGTCTTTTATGTTTTATAAAACCATCCTAATTCAATCTAAAAATCATTAAAACCAAGTTCAAGAAGAGAATAAGATCATAGTTTGATTAAGTACTTTTACCTCTTCATTGCCGATTTACATGCTAATCTATGAAGATTTTTTTAAACGCAGCATTATAGATATGTAGTGCTTTTTTTTTTTTCTTTCTCTCCCCAGAAGCATAGATAATAATGCATAGTACTAAAAATTTCCCCAGCCAACACAGAAGAGCAACCTTATACAGGAGGAGAGAAGAAATGCAGTAGGAGCAGGTAGACCCTTAAACTTTAAAACTGCTTTATAGCAGTATCAACAAATGGAGGAGAATAAAGATTAGAAACACCGTTTGTTGTCAAAACTTACTTTCAACATTTATTGGCATTTGAGAGACTGACGATGCAAGCTTAAATTATTTTTAATACAGGAGGTTGAATAAAAGAACAGAAATGAGTTTTGGAAACTGTTGAAGGCTCAGCTGTCCGCTCTAAGATTAATATTTTCTTTATACAGTGCAGTAAAGATTCCTTCAAAATATATTAAACACTTAGAGCTAAGTAGGAGCTAAGGAACACTTAATCTTTGGAATATTGCTTTGTGGCTAGATCTGTTTGAGGAGAATTTGTTGGCCTCTCTGAAGCAAATTTTCACTTATTTTCTTTGTATAGTGCAATAATGATTCCTTTCATATATATATATATAAAAAGCACTGGAACTAAGTAGGTCATAAGATAAGGAGCACTTAAGCTTTAGATTTTTGCTTTGCATTTGGATTTTTTTTTTCTGGTGAGAATTTATTTTTTAACTAATAATTGCTTTAAAACAGCCTTAGTTCCAGAGGAAGGAAACAAAGGTTATGGACCTGTTTTTGAGGAACAGCCCATTGATACCATCTACCCAGAAGAATCTTCAGATGGGCAAGTTTCAATGAACTGCAGGGCTCGAGCAATTCCTTTTCCTACTTACAGGTAAGATCTTTCTGTATTTTACATAGTAAAATGGAATCATTGGCTGTCTTAATGGATAGCTACTGTCTTCAGTGCTGGAAGGTAATGGGAGCCTTGCTGTTTTTCAGAATCAACCTTCACTTGCTTTGCCAGCAGCAGACCAGACTGCAGGTGTTAAAAGCTTCCCATTCCTGTTGCACTAAATGTTTTCAGCATTCAAAACCAATGGTGGTCCAGATATGAAATGAAAGCAAAATCTTTAAAAAATAATAAAGAAGCCATCTTTCCAGCTTAGGTTAGGGGGACTGAAGTTCAGGTTTTTCCTGTTTCAGTTTCCTATTTTACTCTGAAAGAAGAACCACGAGTTGGATGTGGATATCCTACAGCCTGTGATGCTTTTGCAGCCGCCCTCTTGTAGAGACACCCATAAATAGGCCTGATAAACCATTGAAGAAGTGAAAAACTTTATTTTATTACATCTTGAAAAACCTGTTATTTATTTATTTGGTTTTAGTTGAATTTAACATATTTGTCGCTTAGATTATTTCTACTATCATTTCTTTATTTGAGAAATCGCAATTTTAATCTCAAAAGTCATTATTCAGAAAACGTTGGTACAACTTTTCAAAAAGGAAGCAAACTAAATGCTTTCTCATTTGCAAAAACTACTATACGTCTTTAGTGTATGAAGATTTTTCTTTCTCCTTAAGTAGTAAGTTGTCTCCTATTTTGCTCAGGAAATTTGACGTTCCTTGCAAACAAGATGATGGGCTCCCCCTTGTGGCCACAGTAGTACATATACATTCCTATAGCTCCTAGATCCTGGGGTCACACTCACTTGTATTGAAAGTTGGTAGAGGTGGGTAATGGATATGCATCATCTATTGAGTTCCTCCCCTAGTTTGAGAAGTGGAGGTTGCAGCAACTCAATGAATTAACTGCAGGGTTTTACAGTTATTAAGATGGGAATTACTAGTTTTTTTTGATTATAATAAATAGGCTTTACATCCAATTTACAAAATATTTGTAGCCCCTAGAGCGAATTCACAAGAAGCTTCTGAACATCACATTAATCCTTAAAGATCCAGAAGGATCTTTTAAGGCCAATGTGGCCCGGGCTAGCTATCTCATTGAGGATATTTGTAGTCCCAGTGCTGGTTGTGCTCTGTGTCTGTGCTGTCTTCTAAGTATTTGTTTCAGGACCTGGTAGCAGAGGATCTGGGGCTGAAAGGACCTGAGCAAGGGCCATCCTGAAGCCCAGGCAAAGCAGAGCCATTACCTGGGCTGAGTCCCTGCTCCTCGCAGTGCCTGACCTGTTGTCAGTGTTGTGCCATTAGCAAAGACAGGGTGAATCAGCTTGTCCTAAGCTCTGTGCAGCTGTATTTATGTTTCCAGCACCTGAGCTGTCTCATTTGCAGCCAATTAGAGCGTCCTGTAATACACTGCCAGCAATCAAGATTAACCTGGGACACATCTCTTGGAAGGTTGAAGCAAACTGAGATAAAGAATCTATGAAGTTTGTGAAGTTATGGGCTTTTGCTGGAGAAAAATGAGAACATGTACAGAAATGTGATTAACAATATATGAGATTATTAATATAACATGTGAACCCATTAGAAAGTTGTTTTTCAAATCGTATTTCTTACCAGATTGGTTTTTGGGGTGCAAATCTTACATCTGTCTTGTCTTTTTTTAATAGGTGGAAACTCAACAACTGGGACATTGATTTAACAAAGGAACGCTACAGTATGGTGGGAGGCAGACTGGTAATCAATAATCCAGAGAAATCGAAGGATGCTGGAAAATATGTCTGCATAGTATCGAATATCTTTGGAACTGTTAGAAGCAGCGAAGCCACTCTGCGTTTTGGAAGTAAGCAAATGTTTATGACAAAATATTTAGAAACATTCCAGTTAGGTTGAGATGTCCAATGTTTTACATTGCAGTGTTTAGCTACATACATCATAGAGCTGTATTAGTAAGAACAATCTTGTTCCCTTAGTCTGCAGAGATGTTCTTTATTATTCGGCTCACCTTAAAAGCTGTTGAGTAATTTATTATTAAATTATTAATGGAAGAGACTCACAAAGCCAGATCTTGAAATCATCATGTGGAGACTTTTATTTTAAGGCATGGTAGAACCTTAGGGGAAAATAGGCCCAGAAGGAGACACAAGTTTGGATGGATGGTGGCCAGGCTGTGGTCTGGTGAAGCTGCAGCTGGGCTGCCTGATGGGGGAAGGCACCGTGCCCTGGAGTAAAGTGGACTCCTCACTCCTGCTGTCCAGTAAACGCCCTGCTGGGGGCATTTCTGTCAACTTCAGAAAATCATGATCTAATCTTCTAAGTGCCTACATATGCACAAACATACCCCATCAACAAATGCATGCATTGCAGAGAACTGATGTGCTGCATGAAGTTTAATATAAAATTTTCTCGCTGAAGATCGGAACTTTGGGACTTTTGTTTTATTTTGCCTTTTTATTGCTGGCAGTATTTTTTTATTAGAAGACAAAAAAAAAGAATCAACTGACTCTTTGTGACCATTCACAAAGCTCTGGGAGGCATTTAATCTCAATATAAGGTGATTGGAGCTCCTCTTGTCTCCCTGAGCAGTTTCACTCCCTACTGTGTAAGACTAGAAACAAAACGAAATCTTCCTTTTTCTGCTGGTAATTGTGATACTGTGGGATTACATATCTCAAGTAGACTCAAGAGAGTGCTAGGAGCTGCTAGAGCATGTAAGAATTAATATAGATTTAGTCTTTGCTTTGCACAGCATATTTTCTAGCATGAAAAAAAATCCAGACTGTTACTTCTGTCTGATGGAAATGACATCAGAATTCAGTGGGCAATGAAGATATTCCTAAAATCAGTTGTATCAGAGGTCTACACAGCAGGCATCAGTGACGCCAGTCTTGAACACCCCATGGGATTAAAGCTACAGTGACACCTGCAGCTACTTTAAACAAATAAATGTAATAGATGAAAACAGTAGAACCACAGCAATCCTAGGCATCAGGAGAGTTTCACAGTTAGTGTACTGAACCAGTATAGTGAACAGAAACTTGATAGGCAGTATTTAAATTTTTTAATGCTAGTAGGGCAAAATGCTGAGGAACAGGATTGAAAAGATACCTGGAAGCTCATAAATCACTGATTAAAATATGGTATTAAACTTCTCATTTAGCTGGCCACGTTTCTTCTCCTCTACAGTAATTTGTAAAAACTTTCTATTCTCTTTTCATCATGATTATGATAGTTTCAAAAAACTTTTATTCAAGTTTCAAATTTGAATATAGTGTTGCTAAAAATACAGAAAATCTCTGATCTTCAGTAGAGCTTTTGAATGTGTATAAGCTAATTGAAAAATGGTAACAGCCTTTTAGAAGAGTTTGAAACATGTAGCTGAACCAGCTACAATTTGAGAGATGCCTTTTCATTTTATCCTAAGGTTAAATTTGCAAAAATAGTGGAACAAAACCACACTCATTTGTAAACTTTATGAATTCAGGTGGATGGTGATTAATCCATGTGAAGACATTGTATTTAGTAGAACTGGATTGCCTACCAAGAAGAAAAGAAATAATTCTTTCTAGATTTAGTGTAATAAAACCATGAAAATATTTTTCTAGCTGTTATACAAACACCCTTCAAGGACGGAATTTTATTCTTCAAGAATATTTAGTGGCTTTTTGGTGTGTTCTGAGCACAGTCAGAAGCTGATGTACTGTTTTGGGTTTCTGGGGTTCTTTTTTGCTTTTTGTTTTTTTTTTGCTGGAAAATAGTTTCAAAATAGTAAAATATAGCAATTTAGTTTAGAAGTTAAGAAATTAATTATTTTTATAAAATGCAAAGTGTCTACTGGATCTATCTAACTCTACACTGCGATTTACAGTGGTATATTGTCTCTTTCTACTTAATCTCTTTTTTATGTAGCTTTGTGCTGGTTTTGTTTGTATTTTTTCTGGCTGACTACTCTTGAACTTAAGTTCTAATTAGATCCCAGAGACAGACAATTTTAACAGCCTTGGGAGCTTAACAGAAGGCAAAGGTAGCTGCGAGCCATCTAAATATATAAAAAAAATTCGTTCTTAGATCATGCACTTTGCTCTTATCATGTTACCATTATACTGAAGCAGTGTTTAGAACAAGCTTCCAGTCAGGAGTTCCTCCTTCTCGCTGTGCTTGGGGACATGCCAGTGCTGCACAAGAAGTATTCTCTGCCTTAAGGTGTTGGTGATTTACTAGTGATTTACTGGTGATTTTGTGCAGACTAGATGCACAAAATGAGAATGGTAGGAAAATGCAAAGTGTAGTTATTTTCCATTTGAAATTTATTCTTTAAAGTAATAAAATAAGTTGTGACATGCAACCATTGATTTATTATTCCAGATACCGTAAAATTTTTTTTCAGAGTCTGTGGAATGATGCATAATTCCATGAAGAACATGTTTCTACATTCTTTGACAATAGCCCCTTTGTTTTGCTGCATGGAAACTGGTATAAAGAGGGTCAGCTAAGGTTTTCATGGGATCTGACACAATTCTGTCCTAAAGCCCCAGTCCAAGAGATGTGTCAGCACTGTGTTCACTAGCCCTAGGTGACCAGATTAAGTCAACCAAAATGGACATTATTTTTCCATAGATATCAGGCCAAAACTGTTGCATGTCTATATCCTTCTCTACAGGACTGAAATAATAGAAACAATCTATTGTGAAAAAAACCTTTTTTTCTTTTTTCTTTTTTTTTTTTTTTTTAAATAGACCTGGATCCCTTTCCACCTGAGGAACGCTATGAGGTTAAAGTGCGAGAAGGTGTTGGAGCAGTGCTTCTGTGTGATCCTCCCTACCATTACCCAGGTAATTTGTCCAAATTTTTTTCAGCTTCATGTGAGTAGAAGAAAAAGGAATATTTATTTTTTTAAAGTGTAATTTAAGCTGAATGGAGCAAAATAGTAGTGGCATTTGCAACAGGTGGGAGTATGCCTACAGTAAAAGAGTCCTAAATATATCTGACTTGGTTAGTGCAGCTACTTCTCTTATTTGAAAGTAGTTAGCAAACTTGAGATTGTCTGGATCACTTTTCATTTATTAGACTTATGACAAGTTTTAAACATAGCCTGAGGTAATTTTTGCCTTGGATGTATTTAATCCTGGGAAGATAAAGTAATCCATTCAGTACATAAACTGAGCTATTTAAATTTGTCCATTATTGAAAAATATTTCTGCAAACTATGGCTGTGTTTCTGTCAGGGGCATGGGGAATATAAGCCTCTGTTCTCATGTTTATATAAATTCTTGGATGGAGCGTATATGAAATGTAACCTCTGTACAGCATGGGAATCACTTTTCAGGTTGGGTATGTTTTGAATATACGCGTGTAGTTGAGCTTTTGTAAAGGATATGTTTGAATTTACCAGCAGTTATGGATCTTACAGAAAAGGTGACTAAAACTAATCTTGACAATGTAGGGGAGGCTTGGCCTGCATCTCAACAGATCTGAGTATCTCTGTATTCCAGACTTTCTACTGATCTCCATCAAGGCCAACTTCATTCCATGTAACAGAGTCACCACAGGTAGTCAGGGTCTCCCATTGAATTCATGGAACACCAGCAGGAATTCTCAAAGGATTAGAGATGAGATGACATCTCTTAATTGCTTACATATCACTGGAAATGCCTTTCTTGTAGCCTTAGGTCCTGAAGAACTTTGCAGGGTTATGCCCTTCACTATGCCATCCAGTTCTATCATGAGGGCGAATTTGGCTGTTAGCAGCTCTGTTACTGCACCTTATTTGTAAAATGAGATGTATGTTTTGTTTTGTGTCTCAGTAGCACAAGTAATCTTGAGGAAGGAACTGAAACATACTTCTAGCTACAATATTCTAAGGTCACGTCTAAATCATAAGACTGACACAGACTTCCGAGCTTTTCAGTTATGTCCGTGTGAGACCCAGCTGCACATTCCCTGGTCACCTTCCACTCCAGTTCTTGTAAAAATGATGGGCTCAAAGGGAACCGTGCTCACTAGAGTCACATTGCCAGTGATCTGGACAAGTCTGGACTACTGGGAGTAGGACCCTATGTTCAGTGTAGACAGCTAGAATACCTGGCTACTGGGATGAGTATATTCCATCTCACAGAACTGTCTTTCCTGGATAAAGGATTTGTAAACTAGAAATCAAAGGAAAGTAATTTATATGCAGAGAGTCCACTATAGCTTAAGTAGCCTGCGGTGTTGCTCTTGTTTTCTATTATTAACTAGAAAATATTTTCCTCCAGATGATCTGAGTTATCGCTGGCTTCTAAATGAATTCCCGGTCTTCATTGCTTTGGACAAACGGCGATTTGTATCACAGACGAACGGCAATCTCTATATTGCAAATGTAGAAGCATCAGATAAGGGCAATTATTCATGTTTTGTGTCAAGCCCTTCAATAACAAAGAGCGTATTCAGTAGATTTATTCCACTTATTCCACAATCAGACCGTAAGTATTTATTGGAAATACTGCATACATGCAATGTTCTAACTGTTCGTATTTTTGTTTTTCTCATTCATTACATTATTTTTAGCTATGTGAGAAGAATAATATTTCAGAATATTTCAGAATATTTAAGGTTGGAAGGGACCTCTACAGATCATCTAGTCCAACCTTCCTGCTCAAGCAGGCACACCTAGAGCATGTGGCACAGGGTGGCATCCAGGCGGGTTTTGAAGACCTCCAGAGGAGGAGACTCCACAACCTCCCTGGGCAGCCTGTTCCACTGCTCTGTCACCCTAACAGTAAAGAAGTTGCTCCTCACCTGGAGACGGAACTTCTTATGCTTCAGTTTGTGGCCATTACCCCTCGTCCTATCGCTGGCCACCAGTGAGAACAGCCTGTCCCCTTCCTCCCTGCATTCTCCCTTCCTGAACTTATACATATTAATCATATCCCCTCTGAGCCGTCTCTTCTCCAGAGAAAAAAGGCCCAGCTCACTCAGCCTCTCAAATAATGTGGTAAGTCTTAAACCAACACTGCAGAATGGCTACTGCACACAGATTTTAGTGTTCCACATACGAAGATTCAAATAATTCCTATCCACAGTGAAAGTTGTGAAGGAAATGTCTATTGATTCATTCACAAAATGAACATCCTTTTGAATCATTGAGAATAGCGTTTTCCCCACCTCCTTCGTGTGCTTAGCCCCTGTGCTCATCCCAAGGAATTTCGTATGTTTTTTTGATGTTGGCAATGTTCAAAAGGGTATAGGTGGGAAGCAGAAACTTTATGAGAGAATTGATACCTTAGGAAGCAGCCTTAGGAATTAAAATATTTCCAGGAAAATCCAAATGAAAATGAAAAATACTTTTTATCTTGTTTAAATCTCCTATCCTGGTGGATGTCCTATGGTCTCTATGTCTCATGGGTCAATCCCCTTAGCCACCTATTCCATTCTTCGTTATTATTCTCTGAATTCTTCATCAAAACTCTTTATTTTCCAAATGGTAACCAGGTTCCTTTGGTGTTTTAGACTGTAAATCACTAGAGCCTCGTGAAGTGGAGATGATCAGAATTTCAGTAAACCTTTTATCAGTTAGATGTCCCATATTATTGTGAAGAAAGATGATTGAATTTGGGCAATTGCAAAGCAGAGATCTCTGTCCTGCTCCTCCTCACCTGACCTCCTCGATACCCACACCGAGTTCTTCCTGTAGCGGTGCCAAGAGGAGCCCTACAGAGATCACAGAGTCCTTCAGAGATTCAGAGATCAGGCAGACTTGATTGCATACGGTTGCCACCTGGATTTCTATCACTTCTCCGTACCCTCATTCACGGATCTGGCCAGACAATTATGCATTATAAAGAAGAATGATGTCTAATTTTAAGAAAGGTTTTGCAGAACTGAGGAGGTTATAGTTGCTGTGTTCATTCTTGCTAGGCCATTTCTGAGAATCTCTTTTTTTTAATGTTAGGTGCAAAAGTGTATCCTGCTGATATCAAGGTGAAGTTCAAGGACACATATGCACTCCTGGGGCAGAATGTGACACTGGAGTGTTTTGCTCTTGGGAAGTAAGTGTATTTTAAAATAATTGAAGAGCACTGCTTACCTTCACAATTCAGGAAGCAAAATATGCATTTCATTATCAATACTTTTCTGTAGTCTCCAATTTAACAGCCAGTTCTTGAGCATGCTGATTTGATCTCATTGTACCTTTTCAAGTCCGGTTCCTGAACTGAGGTGGAGTAAATACCTTGAGCCCATGCCGGCCACAGCTGAGATAAGCATGTCTGGTGCAGTTCTCAAGATCTTCAATATTCAGTATGAAGATGAAGGACTTTATGAATGTGAAGCGGAAAACTATAAAGGAAAGGATAAACATCAGGCGAGAGTTTATGTAGAAGGTAGCAGAACAATTTTATTCTTTACTAGTTGTATTGCTTTTTTGTATTGGAAGTATCTTTTTTTTCACACTCTGTCAATGCTGACTCACTGCATCATCTTGACATACTGGTATTTGGATTAATAAACAAAATCAAAACCCATGCAGTGAGTGGCAGGCGTAACAATCATTTATTAATTGAGCATCTGCTTGGCTTGTATGCTTATGATGACTGAATATACACCTTGACATCAATGTGTGTTAGCATTAATATGATTATGCATAGAGAAAATTATTGAATTAAATAGAGTATTTAAAGTGAAAGAGCTTCCAAGAAGAAAAAGGAATCATTAGGTTTATTATGCTCGCTTTTTTCCTCATTTTGTCTGTTCTTTTGTTTTCTTTTTTAATGTCTATTCCTATGTCCCCTACCAGCTACAGTCAAGCCTGTATTCTGACTACCTTTGTGCATTTGGGTAAATGAGGGACTGAAAAACTGTTCCTCAGTTCTCATAGCGAATGATCCCCAATAACTAGACTCACTGAGACTTCTGCCATCCAACCGTGGCTTCCCACATACCATCAGAATTAACTTCAGAGCATTTCTCTCCCTTTGCATTGACAGTACAGAGCATGTCCTGAGTTAGGATCCTCAGTTAAGCTTTTGAACTTCAGTAGGACAAATTCAAAACTGGTATGGGATGGTTGTTACTGCTTGCTTTATATATATAAAGCTAATAAATAGATTAATTTATTTAGTAAAAACAATAATGCTGGAACATTTTCTGTGTTAATTTCTTAAATATCTTCTCTGGATGAAGGGAATATTTTCTTGGAAACGCTTTCAGTATGTTCCTGGTTGCACGATTTTATGCAATTTATCATTTTTGTTGTTACATTGTACAGTTTACATGTCTGTCTGCATTACCTTGTATCTTTGGACATTCATAAATCATTATTTCAATTCTCTATTTTCTTTTCATTAAAAGTTCCTAGTAGTTATTCCACAGCCAATATGGTAACACCCAAACAGCTTCACTCCGGCTTACACTGGTTCTGAGCTACCAGAGCTTCCATTATTAGTCTTTGTGTCCTCTTAAGTGTCACAGAAGAAGCAGTGGAATTAATAGATCATAATGTTAGTTAAATACGTCTGATAAACTTACAAAGCCTCATGTGTTTTTATTCCTTAGCATCTCCAGAGTGGGTGGAACATATCAATGATACGGAGAAGGACATAGGCAGTGACCTCTACTGGCCTTGTGTAGCTACAGGCAAGCCTATTCCCACCATTAGGTGGCTGAAAAACGGTGCCTCGGTATGTATTTTGCTCTAGATAGTGCAGTATTTGTTGCTTACTAGCCAGTGGAAGTGATTTTTTGAAGCATGCCTTGTTAAAAAGTTTTTAAAAAATGAATCATATTGATAGGAATTTTCACTGATTATATTGCGCTGGAAATTTAATTTTTAAAAAAAAAATTTATCTCAAACTCATTTTTAATTTTGAAGTACAATCCTTTACACTATTTAATACTGAGCTCTGGATTCTGAAGTTGCTATCTGAGCATGTGTAGTGTGTGGATACCTCTTTTCCTTCAGTCCTTTATATGTAAATGCTGTTTTCTTCTCTCAAGGTAAAAAGTGCTATCAGCTTCTAAAAGAAGTCCTTTTTACAATATTGAGCAGGAGTGTGTCTTTAAAAATCTAAGACAAAAAGAAGTCAGTGGAGACATGAGAAGAAATATTTTTAAATGATTGGTGATTTTCCTATATCATATAAGTTGGTCACAGAATATATTTTGGTCACAGAATGCTGCAAAAATCAGTTCTTTTAGGCAATGTGAAGTTTAAATGAGTGCCATTTGATAATTTAAGGTTATTGCTCTGGATTTTTTAAGTCAAGTTGATTTGCAATCCAAGCATTGCAATTCTATATTCATATTTAATATCCATGGCTTATACTGTATGATGAGCTGTTAAAGAACAAACAAAACAGAAGATGCAGCACTATCTCTGTTGAGCCCTGGTGACACTGATCTTGACATTCAGATACAAAAGAAGGCAATGAGATGAAGCTGTTTTGCCTGTATATCTTAAGAAAAACATAAAAAAATGGAAAGAGAACAGAGATGTCACCATCAGCCACAAGGAAAAAAACAATGCTATATTCTAGCTTCTGTAGTTATTAAAACCAAGTGATTTAACAAGCAAATTACTTGACTGTCCCCGCTAATCGTGGCTTTTATGGACAAAACCTGCATACTGCAGAACACCAGAAGATTATGCTGCATATTGCAATTCCAAGATGGTTTCTAAATAGAAATTAAATTTTAAAAATGAATAGCCATGACAATATAACTTATTTATGAATCAAATATAATTATTAAATTGGCATTTCATGTAGCACAAAAAGAAGATAACTTGAAAATATTATTTAGAAAGAAAAAAACAGTAGAGGAAACCTTTTTCTTTTAATCCTTTCTTTCTTCAGATAAATAGTATTTCTTTTCATCTTCCACTAGTCGAAGCACTTGAATCATGTACAGGATTAGAGGATTTCAGTCTAATTTTCACAAGAAAAGAGAACTTAGTAATGCCTTTTTTTTTCAAAAACAAAACGAAAACAATTGACATCTACTTATAGTTTACAAAATATCACATGATATTTTGTTCCTTTCTAGACATTTTTTAAGAAACAAGTCTGATACTTATTTTGATTTAACGATGTTTTTTTCATCGTAAAGAAGTGATCTGTACTACTTCTCCATGGAATCTTGAAAATTTTCTGTCCACCTTGTAAGGGCATGGATTGACCTTTAACTATTTTTGCAAAATAATGTACATAAAATATAATGACCATTAGACATCGCAAAACAAAGCTTATGTGAATAAAACAAATTTCACTTCTTGTTTACTAGAACAAGTTGAACATCTTGTTCAGGATCAGTAATGTCTGAATTTGGATGAAAAAGAAAGGACTGAAGAGTAGATGTACGTAGTGTTACTGAGTGTTGATTTTTCCGGAAACATAACAATCAACATTGAATTCTATAGCATGTGTAGTCTAAATGAAAAGCTATTGATTTTATTCATTTTATGATTTATTGATTTCAGTTCCGGAAAGGTGAACTAAGAATACAAAGTCTGACCTTTGAAGATGCTGGCATGTATCAATGTATAGCAGAAAACACACATGGAATTATTTATGCAAATGCTGAACTGAAGATTGTGGGTCAGTGAAATTACTTGCTTTTATATACAATTTTGAGTTTGAGTAAGATAGTACTCATATTTGCAAGAATTGTTTGATAATACATTATTGGAATAATAAAGAACTGAATCTAGGTGAGATGGGACTTAAGATGGGTTTTGACAATAAGCCTAAGAGTCAAATTATCAATTTATAGAGAACATTTGCTAGATTTTTTCTGATGCTTACCTGCATATAGTTATTAATTCGGTATTTCTTCCCAGCTATTATCTTATAGCAGAAGCATAGATTTTCATATACAGAGTGCTCAAGTTTAAAACATTTTTGACCCTTCTACTGATGTCATTTATATCAGTTGGATTGGCTGTATGTTATGGATGTGGCTTTCATGGGGAATTTTCTTGCAGTTGTTACGCTGTGTTTTTCTAACATATCTGCCTTCAGACTTTCCTAGCAGCTAAACTAATCTTGACTTCACCCACCCATTGCACAACAATATAATACATCATCCCTCTTCTGTTGCCATTTGCTGACTACTAACCTGGATTACTCAAAGTTTAGCACTGTTTGCATGCACATTTATAAACTTCACTGTTAGTGAGATCGAATGTCTGTCAGTTTTTTTCTCTACTGCTATCATTGATAGCTGTATTTCCCCAAGCTACACACATATTTGCTGGCATTGTTAAAAATGATGGAACACAGAAATGCAAAATAATTGAAGGCATTTTGTCTTGTATTCAGTTAAAAGTTAAGAAAATATTAATAAACCAAGATCTGATTGCAGGTACATCTGTGTGGGCCTTACAGGCTGTCATTTGTCATTGCTCTTGTAGAGGGCACAGGATTGGACAGAGAAATTAGCTGAGCAGAACACTACAAAGAGTAAGAAGGGAATAATTTGCAAGTTGCTAGACAGAGTTTAGAGCCACTGAAAACTAAAACCAACTATTATTTGACAGCAGAACTGAATGAGCAAGCTGAATTTTTATAGAAGTTCATCTCCAGAAATCTAAATTTTATTAAGTTTGATCAAAAGGCCTTTGAGAGAGAAGAACTTTCTACTGATTTTAAAGGGCTTTGATCTTGTTAGGTTAAACTTAGATGGAAAGAAATCCATCAGGAAGATGGATTTCAGAAATCAACAGGAAGAAACCTCTAGTGCATAGAACTGCAGAATAATTCTTGTTTCTTTCACAGCAGCATATGCAGCTCACTGAATTTATTTTTCTCATCATCTGTCATTAATATTTTTCTCAATAGTCTGAATAATGGATATTTATATACAATCAGTAGTTCTGTCATTTACCTTAGTCCTTATGTTGCAAACAAACTGTGTTCTGCACAGAAGTCATTAACAGTAATGCTAATGTGCTAATTTTTCCCTTCAGCTTCACCTCCAACTTTTGAACTGAACCCTATGAAGAAGAAAATCCTAGCAGCCAAAGGGGGCCGTGTAATAATTGAATGCAAGCCTAAAGCTGCTCCCAAGCCAAAATTCTCATGGAGCAAAGGAACAGAGTTGCTTGTAAATGGGAGCCGGTCAGTATTTGTTATTTGTGATCACAATACTTCTTAAAAATGCTGACTTCTGTTTGTATTTATCCTACAGGCTAGTTCTGATTTCTGCAAGCTTCAGGGGCAGGAGAACGGTAGGGCAACGTGAAGCTCCCCTTTATGCTGACAGCACTGAAGCAGGACACCCTGGCACCTGTAGAGTGCAGGAAGTGAAATTAATACTAAATTATAATGTGTGTTCCACACAGTTGACCGAGACATTATTAATATTATTTCGTTATGATTCTGACAATTCAAAACATTTAAGGAGCCCATTTTGTTAGTAAATCACACCAAACCCCTCAAGAACAGTTCTTAGCTCCCCTGCTGTCTCTGCTATGTGTATGAGAGTCTTTATTTTAGTTTTAATACTAGGCACGACTCTAGAATAATGTTTATATTTTAAGCAGTTAGTCCCAGCACAGAACCAAGGGTCCATATTAAGTGCCAAAAAATCTTATACAGCTGCATTGCAATAGTTGGATGCTTAAGAATGAGATCAGAAACTTCTCTGTCTCTTACCTCAGGACGGTTGTTTAGTGGAAGAGAATGTGATATTGCAGATTGTGGTTGCACTTTGCTCTGTGATTGAGTGAGGAGTGCCCCCACTGGGGAAGGGGAGATCTGAATTTCCATTACCCTTCCAAAGTTTATTCATAGATTTTAGAGGAACAGTCACATGAAAAAACCTGATTGTCTGTACCTACAGCATTTATTGCACGTATTTAGGCAATATGTTATGCAAAGGAACCCCAGTCCAGCAGTGTGTTAGTAGATAAAAAAGTATGTAAGCAGGTAAGGTTGGTTTACTGTTTATGAGAAGACAACAATCTCTATTGCACCCTTCCTCCCATGGGCGGTCTGTAAGCAATACTACAGTGCATTTTTGCTAATGTTTTACATTGTATACATGATATAATGTGTTATTTAATAATACCTAATATATGCTATATAATAATAAACTACTATATGTTACCTCATCTATGTCATAAACTTGATATTATTTGAAGAAAGGCATTGGAATTGAGCCTTGTGATCTTTTAACTTATTACAGTTCTTAATGAAAGTATTGCTTTCTGGTATAAATGCTGTATTTTTTTACATTTTTGTAGCATACGTATTTGGGATGATGGGAGCCTGGAAATTATCAATATCACGAAGCTGGATGAAGGTCGCTACACATGCTTTGCAGAAAATAACCGAGGAAAAGCTAATAGCACTGGTACTCTAGAAATGACAGGTAAATTTATAGCTTAATTTATTACAGAAAATGCCCTTTTCAGAAAATGTTTATTAATCTGTAAGGGATTGTAAAATTGAATCCATCAATTCAGATAGTACATTTTAATGCAGTTATTCAGCTTGTTAGCATAGCTCAGACAGAGGAATGGTCTCTGGACCATGGATCAAAGAAAAGGGACTCTCTCTTGTCCTTCCTTAAGTTCTCTTTCTCGCTTTTTTTTTTTTTAATGGAAAGTAGAGACTTACAAAACTCAAAGCATTATGTTGTGAGATAGAGGTATTCATATAACTGCATTACTCTTTTTCTTTTTTTTCAGGGTATTAATATTTGAAATATGATGTCAAATAATTCAATATCAGATAATTCATAATCTGTTGAATACAGACAGGAAAGATGACATGCATGAACAGTTATGCCAATCAAGCGTCCAGAAGTCTCACTGATAGCAGCATAATTATTTATTAAATATATTTCTTAAAGTCTGTTCCAAAACTGATGCTGGATGTGACATCACCGTATCAATGTACTTGTATAAGAATTAATCCATATCAGCAGATCATATGAAAACACTTTTGTGGCTGCTCTATTGTATCAAATGAGAGGATACTGTAGTGTTTTATTCCGAGTAATCAGATTTGTTTAATGTTTGCAGTTACTTTTTGTCATCTTTTGTAGTTTTATAGGTCTAAATATTTAATTCAACCATTTAATTATTTTGAAAGATTATGTAAATAAACAGAGCCCCTTAGCAATCATACTGTACCTCTACAATCAGGAAGAACTTTGACATAATAAAGCCTCATGATGAAACACTTAAAATGTGTTTATAAACTATATAAGCTAGTTGTAAAGAATCTTTTATTCTGGAGTATTCTGCTGTGGTTCATCTGAAAAGGAACACCAGAAGACTCCTTTGATCTCACAGCAGAAACAGGCAGGTCAGATGGCACATTTCAAAATTATTTTCACATTGTGGACAAGGATGGTGGCTGACTAAGAATGCTTTGAAAACAGTATTCTCAAGGACTTTGCGTGTGGCCCATAAAACTTTTCAGACATTGCTCAGAACTACAGGAAATTAAAAAGCTAAAACCAAAGCTGACAGACAAAGGAAACTCTCGTGATTTTTCCCATAAGTTGTTTGCTGAGTGCTTCCTTGACCACTGTTTCAGAGTCTCCTTAGACTGCTAGAAGACTTTATGTTAACTTCTGGAATATTTCTGATGATAGAGCAGTGCCTCCTTCCATGAGGATAAGGCATGTTCTCATAGCTAGGAATGTAGAGATCAGATGTGAACAGGTTGCTCTGATGCACTGTGAGATATTGCATCCTCAGTTACCCAGTTGTGCCACATTCATATGCTAAGCATATTCATATGCTCATATGTTCATATGTTCATATGCTTATGTTCATATGGTAAGCATTAAGCAGGTTTGGATTAGGTAGACCTGGAGCAGGTAGGATTAGGTAGTCGACCTGGAGCAGGTAGGATTAGGTAGTCTACCTGGAGCAGGTAGACTAGGATCTGGAGGAAGGATTTTCTCCAGGTCAGATTGACAAGTAATACAGGGTTCATTTGGAACTACTGCTATCCTGTGTATGGTGGCAGTGAGCTATTTGGGAACATTTGGGAGTTTTCTGTAGCAACTCCTCTGCTAATACCTAGATTTTAATTAATGGCCAGAGCTATTTTCCTGTGGCTCATTATCCTCCAAATTTTACTATCTTACCTCCACTGGTTTTCTGTGGGAAAGATATTGGATGTCAAGATGTGACAATTAGAGCCTCTACTCATAGGTTTTTATTTTGTGATCTGTATCTGGTAAAAAAGGGACCAGCCTCAACGATCCAGAGCAGTGTTGCTAATTTGCCATATGAAATAAGTGCATGTACCAAAGTGTCTAGGAAGCATCATAAAGTCTCTACCTTTTTTTTTTTTTTTTTTTTTTCCTCTTTTCCTGTAAAAAGGAATATTCTGGGGATAGCTGGGGGATATTCAGCTTTCCCTTTCTTCTACTTTTGCCTCTTTCATTTCCTCATGTAGCTATCTTATCTGCATAGTTTCTGTGGTTTCTGATGCCTGCTTAGTATTCTTACCAAACACAGTAAGATCTCTGCAGTGCTCTAATGGAAAGCTCAGACAGCCTGACAGAACATTCTCTTCTTTAAAGAGATGTGTGTTAAAAAATAAGAAATACTGTTATTAACACTACAGCAATGGAGAGAAGATTGATCATTTTTCTGAGATATTATCAATGAATAAAAGTAGTTTTACATAATCAGTAATGTAGACCAGAGAAAGATGCATAGTCATTTTAGAAGAATAACTAAGTACAAGTTTGGCATTTCAGATGTGAAAGCATTTCCTATTTTCTCTTTAGTTTGTTTTTTTGAAATGCAGTTGCATGAGTAACATGCAGAACAAGTTTGGTAGAGAGGTTTCATGTGCAATCAAACAGTTATTGATCTGGGGTTACATTTGTACAAGCACTTGTTTATTGGAATTTTCCATGTTTGCTGTTTACTTCACAGAGGCCACAAGGATTATTTTAGCTCCACTGAATGTGGATGTCACTGTTGGAGAGAATGCTACCATGCAATGTATTGCATCCCATGATCCCACGTTGGACCTCACATTTATTTGGTCTCTAAATGGCTTTGTAATAGATTTTGAGAAAGAGCATGAACATTATGAAAGGAATGTTATGGTAAGATACTATAAACCTTATTTAATATATGGAAGTCTATTTTTCTTGGTTGTGAATAGCTGTCTTCTCTGTTTTACTTTTTGTACTATATTGGTTCATTTCTAGAAAATGCACCTTGCAGAGAGATATGCCACATGCTTACAGGTAGACACCTAGATTCAGAAATCTGACTTAAGTATTTTGATACATGAGCTAAATCCCACTCTGCTGTCTCTAGTGTCTGAAATGAAAAAATATTGAAGTTCAAATATTCAATAATGAATACAGCTGGTAAGCAAATAACACATTACTTCTTTGTAAAAGCATGCATATGCATTCATTTTTACTTGCTCATGTTTTTCTGAAAAACGTTTCTGGAATTTGGCACAGAACTGAACCAGATGGTAGGTAGGATTCAAACAGTCTGTAAATACTGAGCAAGAAAGGTTTGTGTGAAGGCTAAACAAGCTAATACAAAAGCTCTTATAAGAGCACAAAAAGCAGATATAAAGAGAAATCATAGACTTTTTGCGTATACTTCTCATGTGTGTAATTATCTCTCTGTAGTTTTCCATCAGACTTACACAAGATTATCTTGAGCAAAAATACATGTTAGTTGTATCTAATGGTATCATAGTTTAACTGTCACCCAGCAACAACCTCAGAGCTGTTGCTGCTATGAATTTATTTTACGGTTATGGGGTTAAATGATATAAAAATCCTTAAATATAGATACCAATGCTTTACTGTGCTTTAGATCAGCTGTAATTTCAATATCATAAAAAATATATTCTCACCCCAAGAGCCGCCACATTTTAAACACTCCCTCAATAGACTGGGTCTTTGGAGAGAAGAGGCTCCTGAAGCTCTCCATAGCTTCTGAGAACCATGTGGTTGTTGGACAATTTCTGTTACACCTTCAGAATTAGACATCTTTTAACAGTACAATCTACAGAGTTTTCTTCTTGCAGTATTATTTCATATGAAGAACATTCTCCTTCTCTCTTGATATTTCCATATCCGTTTATCTCAGGAGATATTTCAAGCATAACTGTTTCAGCCTGATTGGGAACAAACTAATGCCCTGGGGTGTTGACTTAGCCTGCTCATTTGCAGAGTTGTTTTGAAGTTTCCTAACAAGGTGCCAGGCTCTCTGTGAGTGAGAGAGCAAGTCGTTATCGAAAAGCCAGGAGCAGTATGCTAAAATCAGCTGAAAAACTTTGAAACCCAAAGACATGTATCCCCTTGTGCAGCAAACCTCACTAAAGCCTATGTCCAAGCTAAGCAGCAGGATACTAAGCAAACTGAAAAGTGTATTCTATGTTGCCTTAGGAATTACAAGATGTCTTGATCTACCCTAACACTGTCTAAAAAAATTCCTGTGTGTGGCTGCCAAGCATGCCTCTATCGATGAGGTTTGCATTTCTATACATTCATGCAGTACACAACTGCACTCCGGCACATGGGAGTACCCTGCAGATGCTTGTATGGCTTCCTCATGGCATCCTTTTTCTGTAAATAGAAACAGAAACCAATCGATTGTCAGTCAAAATAAGAACTGAAAGAGTAAAGATCCCTCTGTCTAATATATTCCTTGTATTAGGGCAAATTAAACCAGTCCTGTTTTTTGTCAAGTTGTCTTTAGTTGATTGCTTTTAGCCCCTTGACAGAAGTCACAACAAGTTCCATTCCACTGAAGAACAAATTGAACTGGAGGAGTGTATGAATCATTGATTTTGATGTATAAGCTCATCCTGCAATATGTAATGAAAGAGAAGACTAAATTTTCTCCATCTGTAGATTATGTGTTGAACAGAAGTTTTTATTTCAGTGGCACAAACTTTTAAGTTTTTTTAGGAAATTAATTCTGAAATTTAAACACTATTTTATGGCTCTTGCTAACATAGTGTTAACTCTGTGGCCAAATATAGGTGTCAGTAGGTCTCTCTAAATTTGATATTTAGATTCCCAATCAGCTGTTTCATCTCTTAGGGATAGCCAGTGGTACTGGACTTCCTGATCCCAAATTCCAGTTAATTTACAGTATTTTAGATGCTGTACTGAAGTGTTGCCTTATTTCTGTGGTCTGAAGAGAGAAGCACAAATCTGAGGGTGGTTGAATTGTGCTTGCATTTTTCCATAGACCATTGGAATAGACCATAGACCATAGACCATTGGAATGGTTTCCATAGACCCCATAGGATATAGAAGAAGCAACTAACTCCTAATTCATTAGTTAAAGTTAAGTAGGTTAAACCAAGACATTAGTTACTTTATCTATCAGTGTAACATCTTCATGAGGGCTCTTTTGATGTGTTCCTTTGTGCCCAATCAATACAAGTGTAAATGACTGAAGCAGAGGCAGCTCCTGTGAACGTATCCCTGAGCCTCGTTTTTGGGCTTTCGGATGCAGAGCAAGTGCAGATCATTTCTGTTCCTCTTCCACAGACAGCTCAGTCTCCATCAGTCAGGACAGGAGGGGGCAGTAGGGCTGCATTCTAGCTCTGCATCTGAGATTTGTTGCTATTTTGGGATTCAACGCTTACGGAACAGCGAACGTAGGAGAATTTTTTTGCATTGTAAGGAATTCACTACAAATGTTTGTGTGGGATGTAAATAAGAGGAATATGCAATTTCAACATTTCTGTTTCATTCATTTACTAGCCTATTGTTACTTAAAGTTCCTTTTTTTTTTTTTACCCCAGCTGTGTGCACAAAACCTCCTAATAACTTTTTAAACCTCTCTCACAGTTCTCAGCGCAGGTTTTGCTCAGACTTTCTCGGGTGCAACGGGGTGAGTTGTGCACCAGACAGCAGCAGCCCAAGGGGCTGTGCTTGAAGCACGGGGCTCCCATGCTGCCACACAGCTCTTTATAAGCATGAAAGAAAAAGTATCCCATCGTGAAAATTACAATGGCTGGATATATCATTCATACTCTCTGTAATTTCATCTTGATGAAGGAGCTACATCTCTCTTCCTGATAATATAGCTATTAATTTATAGCAACAAACAGATCGACATGTTGAAATTTGATATAGACACAGTACTTCAGTTCTCAAAATAATACTAATATTGTTGTTACATACACATAATGTAATGGTAATGAAATTCATGTAAATACCTAAATCCTTTTGCTTTAAATGGAAGCTTTCATAGCTTCATCAATTGCTGAAGGCGAAACTAATTTGCATTACATTAGTGCTATAACTCATTTCTCAAAAAAGATTCATCAGTGCTATTTTAATTTCACATGACCCTAACTATGACAGTGGTATTTAGAATTAAAAAAAATAATAGTATGCAATCTTAGGTAGAGCTGTCAAATTGAGTCTTCCAAATTTTGCTACTAAACTGATTATGTTTGACTTCATGTATGGTTGTTCCTATGATTATTTGATTGGGGAGCTAAATATTAATATATCCTTTCAAGACCCTTAGAGATACCATGTGTGAAGAAATCTGGAAACCTCTGAGGTTTTGTCATTTCTTATTTATAGAATTGCTTTTTGCTGTGTATATATTTAAAGATTAATTTTCTTTATTACTTTTAGCATGCATACAAAGATTTAGTATGCACTATGCAAAAAAAATATTGTTTTGATATTAAGTTTTTTACCAAATATTCCCTAAAGTGTTTTTACAGTCTTTTGTAACACACAAATTCATATGCATAGTTAGTCAGGAAAACAAATTCTTTAATTGTTACAGTCAAGAACTCAGAAACTTATACTCAAAAAGCATCCAAATGTGGACTGAAATAGCCTTAGTCACATGCACACAAACTTCAAAATATTTTTTGAACCATTAGTATCCCTGTTTGCTACATAGTTAAAAAGTAAAGTTAGGTATGTGTTGTGTTAAGCAGTGTCAGTGGCCCTGAAACATTAATATTATTATCATCATTTTATTTTTAGTAAGTTTAAGTTAAATTACATTGGGAGTATGTATATTCAGGAACTTGACCCCCTGGCAAACACATTTCTTTTGGAAGAATTAAAATATGGAAGGTTGTTTATGGGTCTAAAAATCTTCTAGCCATTTCCAAGAAATAGGAGGTGGTGGTAGTGTTCCAACAAGGCAAGAAGATGACTTTGTCATAAAGGCAATTTACTAGTTACTCACTAGTCTCCTATTAACAGTGAGATCATCATAAAAAAAAGACTGTGTCTGGGTTCCTGAGACTGTTTCATAACTACCAGAGTCAGGCTTATATCACCCCATTATTTGTTCTGTGGACCATTTTAAGTGCTTTCCTGAATTTGTTTGGAAGTTCTGTTCTTGGCATCTAGTGTGTTTTTTCCATACCACAAAATGTTTTATCCTTTTTTTTACTTCAGGTAACCAGAAAGATTTAATGCTGCTTTGTAATCCTATTTTATTGAAAAAGCAGTTCTCACAGAGATGTAGATTTCTTTTTCCATTTGCAAAAACTAAATGAAACCAGCAAAGCTAGATGAAGTGATTAAGGTTTGGAGCATTTAGGTCTAACACTGAAACAGGCTGCCTGGAGAGGTTTTGGAGTCTGCATCCTTAGAAATAATCAAAATATCTGGAATGCACAAGGCCCCGAGCAATCTTTTCCAGTTGACCCCTTTGAGTGAGGAGGTAAGACATGGGACTGCTGGAGAGTCTTCTGAGTTCAGTTGCGTGGTTGTGTGATATTTTAGTATAATGGTGTTAAAAAGCCTATGGTTAAATAAGAAATGTGATATATGGTACTGAGTATTGAAAGCAGGTGGCAGCAGTTTCTACTCAGCCAATACCTCTGTGTGGTGGTGCACAGTATTAGGTAATATCAGCTTCTTCCACTGCAAGCAGAAGCTGTTGCAGCTTGGAGCCAGCAAGAATGAGATCGTTTTAGAAAGAGTAACGCTTCTGGACTGAAGGAACTTTGAAAAAATAAAACATATTGTTCCCTGAAAACAGGAGCTTTAACAATCTTCTTCTCCTCCCCTCCCCTCCCCTCCCCTCCCCTCTCCTCTCCTCTCCTCTCCTCTCCTCTCCTCTCCTCTCCTCTCCT